ACCTACCAAAAATGCGTTTTACGGTTTTTTCCTTTGAGGTATGTGTTAAAACTTGAAGTACAGTCATGTCGATATTAAATTCTTATTACCTATAATTGATGAATCATGTTTTACATATATGGGCAAAGATATTTGCGAAACAGTTTGTCATCTGTTAGTAAAATAGCTGATGTGCGGTTTTGTAGTCTGTGTACCGTTTTTCGTATGTAGAGCATATCTTTTGCTATAAGATCACGTGCTTATGAAGTGAAATTAGTTATTAAAGTTCTTTCGTTACAAGATTCGTCTTGGTATTTTTTAAAGGCAAGATGATCAGGTCCTCGTTGATTCTCGAGGGTTGTCGACGTTTTCTTTCACAGTTTGAACAATTACACAGAGTAAGCAGCATCATCAGCACCTTGATGGCTGGAAGTCTTCCAGAGTCCGCTTCATTTGCGAACTAGCGAACTGTGGAATCGACTCCCGGGAATCTTCCCTGGGAGATACGAATTTGAATTTTTTACTTTTGCTTCAGATGTATTTGGAGTCTATATTCTAGTAGTGAGTACTTTGCCAAACCCATTGTATACTGCAGTGCGAGGACTTCCGCTAAATATAGTAACCATTGATTTTACGGTTCCAGACGAATGCTTTACTACATATAAATGTATAGATGAACGAATAAATACGTAAACTGCTCGTAATGTGTAATAAAATTAAAAAACATATATAATTTATTTCGTATACACAACGAAATGTAGTATGTATTGGCTTAGACGGGACATTATTACTCAAAAACAATATTTTGTATCTCTGGCTGGTATATGTTATATATATCGGATTTTTTAGATTCGATTTCCAGCGAAATAATTTTAAAAAAGTTCCGCTTTAAATCCTTGTTATTGACTGTTTAAGCATTCTCAATACTTAATTTAATAGTTTAATATATTCATTGATATAATTCTGAAATAACGTGCAGATGTGTTATATTATGGGTTAACGAATTTGGCCCAGTCTTAATTATTAATATGTTTTTATATGAAATAAGGAGTACGTAAGTGCAAGGCTGACTCAATGTAGTGACTTTCAATTAATAGGTATTAATTGTTTTGTTATTCACGGTAACATATCGCGTATTCTAGGCTAGGCAGTCTTTATTCTAAGATATATTTAGAATAGTATAACCATTATTCAGATCTATCACGAAAGAGAGTATTTTTTATCGAGTAATCAGTTTTTAGAATAAAAAAAACAAATGACTATCGCCCATCTGAAGCCTTAATTATGATATAATTAAATCTTTATATGATGTAGAGTTTTTAGTTTTAAATGTGTATATTTAAAATGCAACTTTTCTCTGCCAAGAGTAGTGCATAGGACTAGTGGTCTAATGTTAGGATCCTTTTGTAGCCATAAATCCTTTGCTCGTGTGGACTAATAAATAAAAAACGTGTGTGTACTTATGTACACGACTTAATGTTATACTTCTTTGGCGTAACAAGATAATTTTTTTTATCTTTCGCCTTGTTCTACGTTTATACAAAAAAACGAAACTAACAATAGAAAAATATTTACTCTCATAATTTTTCCCTAACGCGCCAAAAGAAGTATAACTTCAAAAAACTAAAATGTTGACTATAGCTAACTTCAGGGTGTCGGTTTTTTTGTGACGGTGTGCGCGCGCATCGTAAATATTTACTTTCATCATTTTACCCTAACGTGCCAAAATAAGTATAACTTCAAAACTAAAATGTTGACTATAGCTAACTTAAGAGTGTCGGTTTTTTGTGACGGTGTGCGCGTGCATCAAAGAGAAAAACGTAAATATTTACTTTTATCATTTTTCCGTAACGCGCCAAAAGAAAAAAAAAAAAAAAAAAAAAAAAAAAAGTAATGTATAGTATAACTTCAAAACTAAAATTGTTGACTATAGCTAAAATTGACAGGGTGTCGGTTTTTTTGTGACTTGGTGTGCGCGCGCATCGTAAATATTTACTTTCATCATTTTACCCTAACGTGCCAAAATAAGTATAACTTCAAAACTAAAATGTTGACTATAGCTAACTTAAGAGTGTCGGTTTTTTGTGACGGTGTGCGCGTCTGATAAAACTTAAACAAAAAAAAAAAAAAAAAAAAACAACAAAAAAAAAAAAAAAAAAAAAAAAAAAAATCGTAAATATTTACTTTATCATTTTTCCGTAACGCGCCAAAAGAAGTAAGTATAACTTCAAAACTAAAATTTTGACTATAGCTAACTTCAGGGTGTCGGTTTTTTGTGACGGTGTGCGCTGCATCGTAAATATTTACTTTAATCATTTTTCCGTAACGCGCCAAAAGAAGTAAACTAAACCAAAAGTAAAATAACTTCAAAACTAAAATTTTGACTATAGCTAACTTCAGGGTGTCGGTTTTTTGTGACGGTGTGCGCCCGCATCGTAAAAATTTACTCTCATAATTTTTCGCTAATGTGCCAAAAGAAGTATAACTTCAAAAACAGTTAAACATAGATGCCTCGGTCTCGGTCTGTCGCTCCGCAAAAAGCGTAAACTATAAAACTGTTGATTTTCGACAGGGGCTCATCGGAAGAAGCGGCGCGGCGGCCGCGTGACGGAAGCCTTCGTTTTTGCGTCTTCCGGGCCCACTGACCCAAATACTATGAATTGTTTGTCATTAGCCCTGAATAATTATTAATTTTTGCTACAATTTTCTATTAATCCATAAGGTCATGAAATTATTAAGCAATGCCTGTCTCAAATCGTATTAAAAAAGTACGTTTTAAATCCTTGTTATTGACTGTATAGTTACAGATTATTTGAAGTAGTTAACTGCAGTCACCTTGTGAGATAAGCGACACATTTATCACACTGTCGGGTCGTCTCACCTTCGAGTTACTTTGCGCGGACAATAAAACGCATTTGAGGACCATTTGTTATGTGATTCTTGTGACAAATCACACTACGAATTATCATACAGTATATTTTAAAATTGAATGTATAACAAATAACGTGTATTGTATACATACTACATAATATAATGGAGATATATGTAGTATGTATACAGTAAGACGAGCGAATTTATTAGTTGACTCACAAGATCCAGATTATAGGCTTGATTAAATTAACCAATTGACTAACTGGACATTTATTGTCTTTAAAATTCCCTTTTGATTATTTTTATTTTATGCATTAATTGTTTTGAATGCAAATGTATTATTATTGGGAGACATTAGTTATTATTGTTTTAAAAAAGTTCATCGACATTTTAAACGTAGAATGAACTTCCAATAAAGTTTAGTTTTACGTGTCGGCATTCGAACGACCCAACTGTACCACCGCACCGTCTGGAGTTGCGTGCTATCAATACTAATATGGTTCGGCATTTGCTTACAAAATATACATTTTACTAAATTCTTCTTCTAAGTCCAGATTACGTAATCATAATAAAGCCTTTTGTTTATATTTAATGCGTAGTAGTATTGTTAAATGTAACTTTTAATTAAAATTAAGGATGCCTTTCGAGTCACCGCCTTCTCCGTCTTCTTCCTTCTGTCTTGCTTGTATTTATGTCTTCCGATATTGTCTATGGTATTCTTAGACCAACTTTATGATCTCCCATGTCGTGTTTTATGACGCGAATACATATTTGAATAAGATTTTTGTTTATTATAATTCACAACATACCAACATTGAAATTTAAATATACAAAATACAATAACACTGTGTTGCGCATTTGAAATAGTTATTGTTATATTCATACTTCGCATTACGTGCCGTTTCGTTTATTTTAGTTCCGTTTACTGAATTTTAATAATAAAGTTAAGAAGCGTATAGACAGGAAACAACCAGCGCCCTCTACGCTCTATAACTAGAACGTTTTGCCTTTATTGAAACTGTGACACTACAACCCATATATTTTAGGCAAGTAGATGATCAGTATTCGCTGTCTGAAAAATGCAAAGTAAAAGTCAAAACCGTCAATAAAAAGTAATGTATATTAAATGCTTCTAATTTTACATTTACTGCCAGTTCCCAAATCAAGGGCGTAGAACGGACGAGAAGAACTGGTAATAAACTCTCCGCCACTCTTTTTAATCGCCAATTATTTTGTTTTACACAATGTTTGTAAGGAGCTGCAACCATTACACCATGTTCCAGAATTTTTTTATTGTTAGACGTACTGGTTTATACATTACTTCACTGTACATAAGTATTAATTACGTACATATTTTGTTTGTTGGTTGCATTGCTGGTGTCTTACCTATTATATTAAGATAATGAAACATAATTAGGTACATATTAATATTTAAACCAAATTCAACTATGTAGAACTATTAGTCTTTATCTTTGTTCAGAAAATAGTGCCAAAGATGCATGAGTCCCAACAAAAATACTTAAATCAGATTCAGGCGACGTAATAATAATAAAGCCTTTTTTCAAATATTTTAATTAAATAATTATAATACAAATTCTTATCTCTAGTTTTTAGAAGCCATAGGGCATAGACCTTCACCAAACATAATAAGTCTTTTTATATCAGTTACACCGGTTGTTGTCTTGCGTTTCTAAAGGTCTCCCCTAGAGTTAGCCAATACTGCATAATATTATAAGTCTTCTTTGACTAATTAATCCTTGCTACTTATATATCTCTTTCACCTACGACATTGTCTGCCATAATTGTATGTTGTTAATGAATTGTATATATTCTATTAGATATTAAAAAACTACATATATAAATCTAAGAATTTGATCTCTCTTCGCCAGTGTACAGTCGTAATTAAATGCTACAATGCGATCGGTTTCGTGAAGTGTACCATCTCGTTGCATCATACTCATTTCTTTTGAAATCGTTCCGGTAAATTTGTTGCATAATTATAATTACAACGCAGATAGCGTTCGATTTGGTTCCCTTTCGTATTAGACGATTATAAATATGATTTAAAAGTATATATTTTTTACACAATCATGATGAAAGCATCAAGTCCCTTTTTTCTACAATACTGATTCCCGTGTTGGTGTTTGCAGGTGGTGCATTCGAAGGTGTTGAAGACCAGGTGTCGCCGTTTGGATACGGCCGTGGCGAGGGCGTCGATGCAGGACATGGTGATCCCGAATGGATCTGCAGCAAGGAGAAGCCGCGATACGACGAGTTATTCCTCTCACTAAACCCCATTGATGGAAAAGTCACCGGAGCCGGTACGACCCTATCACTCGCTCACCATTCACGCCTCTCAATCACAAATCATACGCACAATTTATCTTTCGCAAACCATTCACCTCTATCACTTACACTTCTTGCTGCTAATACTGCCTGCGCGCACGTCACACGTCTCTGTCTCACGACAAAAGACCCACAAACATACATCAAACTCACGGACTCTCTGGCCTTGGCTTTACAGAACTGCTCAAATATTTCCCAGCTGTTACAAGCAAACGACGATGGTGTCTCGATCCACAGTATATACGATACCAATGTAGATGACAGGCGAGACGAGAGTGTCTCAGAAGCGAATATTGAATCGCCCACAAGTAGTTTTCACTCGATTGTTTCTTCTCTGATGTATTTCACTAAAGCTGCCTGTATACTAGTTCTGAGTTTTGTAGTCGTTATAATTCTTGCTGACGTAATGTTTGTCAGTATGTCGTATATATTTACGGGCAGATTGTACTTAGAGTTCAGTGTAGCAAAGTCACCACAGGGTTTGTTAGAAGAGGCGAAAGTGTTAATGTTCGGGCCGCAGCAGGAAACTGTTCAGATACACTCGATATTTCAGCTGCTGTATCGGCACACCGTTGTCAACGTTCTTAAACATTTCCTGCATGCTCTAACCTGACTTATTAATTTTCATTAGCCTGGTATCTGTTTGTTTACTTTACGGTTTTAGCGGGAATACTTACATTTATACATTTCATTATTGCCATTGCTTTATAAACTTCTTTTACCTCCAATCCTAATTTATTTATGTATATTAGGTGTAATATAAATTTTCTTTCCCTATTTTATAATAATCCAAAACGTCGGTGTTTAGTGGTGATATTAGTAAAAAATATGTATCTAAAATAATAAATCAATATTTTGAATATAAACAGAAAGCACGCACTTTTCTGGTCTGAAAAATTAATAACTTTATACGATAGATATATAGTATTATTTTTAAGTTCACTTCAGTATAAGAACAATTCAGTATCAGAAACAAACTGTTTTTTTTAAATGGGAAAACAAGTACTGAAAATTACATTTCAAAATCCTGGGTGTTTTTTAAATCCTATTTCATATATAACTTTATTGGAATGTTATGTTAGCGTTAAAATTTTACATGAATTTAATAACGACGTTTGCCTGCATTTTTTTGTAATTGCAAAAATATTGACAAAAATTAGAATTGAAAGGAAAACTAAGTATTGTGGTAAAGTAGGTAACTATACCTTATTTATGTATTACTAAACTATATTTATTTATCTTATAATTTTTCCCAATACATATATAATATATAACCTCTGTGAAAAACGCCGTATAGGCACACTATTCAGGAACTATAGAATTAAGTTTGGAATTTTAAATTTACACCTAATTAAAGGGAACTTAAAGATAAAGTTAGCTAGAGTATCGCTTGTCCAACAGCCGCAAAAACGGAGATGGTGAAGTCGAAGCTGCCAAATTCGGTGCTGGGCAAGATCTGGAAATTGTCCGACATCGACAAGGATGGATTCCTCGACGAAGAAGAATTCGCGCTCGCAATGCACCTTATAAAGGTCAAGACCGACGGACATGACCTACCCCAAGACCTTCCTCCCCACCTCATACCCCCCAGCAAGAGGAACTAACAACCTGTTGTGCTTCCAGACTCACTGTAATTACAGTAGAATAACTCTGTAAGAATGCGAATGTTCTGTATACAAATATACTGACTGTTTATTGTTAGAATTTACTACTGTATTTTTACATTTGAGATCTGGAAGATCTGCCCAAAATCCCACTTCTCTAACATTTGCTGTCGCACTCGAGTCGCAATAATTCGAGAGGTTTAGTTGTAATATTTTGAAATTAATTACAATATTTTATCCAATCTACTTATAAGATGGCAAATGTTTCTGAACGTATTTCTATGACCACTGAGGGCTTGTTATGATTTAGCTATGTTTACTAATTGTAGAATCGTGTTTAACTTATTCAAACTAATAGATAGCGTTATGTTCAACCACTATTTTATTCACGATGACAGCGATTCTAAATTGTAACAAGTGTTCAATGGTAGGCACTGTAGAACGCATACATGCATCGCCCCATTGCTATTTATTGCTTGGTTTTTTTTAATAAACAAATTCTTCTTTTTTTCCTAACGTTAACCTTATGAGAGAGCGTGATTTGAGCATACAAATGTTTTTTTTTCATTCTCAACATTACATTGTGCAATACATGAAGAGAAATTTAAGAAACATCCTCAAAATGTTATGGTTATGTTACACAATAACAAATAAAAAATGTTTAAAGTTATTTGAGATGTTAATTGAAGTTAAATTAGTTTAGATTTTACTTAATTTATTCATCATACATTTTTGGTGCTTTTATATTTTATGAGTTCATTTAAATTGATCCTTAGATATTTCTTATTTCATGCATAATATTCATAAATTGTTTTATATTTATTAATTTTAAGGTGTTCCTATTAGTGATTTTTCTAAAGAATAATCCATGAAATGCATAATGGTTATTAATTTTCATTTTAATAAATTATGTCCATTGTTTAAACACTTTTCTATAACCTATTTTCACCTGTCAATTGTTGCATTTATTTAATTGTATGATTGATAGTGCATTTTTCTCTCACAATAATTAGATAAATATTACATAAACTTTGCTGTATACTGTCTGAACAAAGGCTCTTATACTATTTCTATGTAAATATGGATTTATATGATTATGTTTTGAAAGGCCCCGCTGCATTCACCATGGAGATGCAATCATATATTTTTACATTTTGCTACTGTGTGTACATAAAAATAAATGTATTTATCATAAATTATACACAGAGTGTAATAAATAGATAAGAAAAATATTAACTTGGTGTTTTATTTAATATTAACCTTTTTAATTTATGTAGAATATGTATGTGTTTTTAAAACAGATGCTAAGAAGTGAATCATAGTACAGATTGAAAGAAACTATTGATTTTGTATGGGTAATGCATGAAATATACTTAGCTTGACAAGCATTGCTGTCAAATTATCATAGACTGAATGTACCAAATTCTAAAGTCAGAATAATCTCCACATGATATATTAACTTGTGCCCAGAACTTAGTGAAGAATTTGCATTTTGCACTCTAGTTAAACAAATTGAGCAATTCTGTCAAAACTTTCATTCATTATCAAATGTCTTGCTAGATCCAATTAACTTAATCTGGATGGATCACTATTGGGTTTAATCACCAAAACTCAGCAATGTACAGCTAGCCTTGGCTAAAATAGATCAAAGGCTTTAGTAGGCTAATTTACGCCCTGCCATAGACTACAAAAGAAAATTATGTAGAATCTACAAGCCGTGTGTAATTAAAAATAAAAACTTGAGTGGCTACTTTATTTTATAATATTTAAAATAAAATGCAATAAAACTCATACTAATTGTATAAATTAGATTTTGAATTAATAAACATATTATTTCCATAGTACATAAATTTTTATTTAACACCACATCATATTTAGATACAATTTATAGTCATTACTTATATTAGAAATATTTTAAAGTGAACAGACCTTGTCTTGTCCAACAGCTTACAATTAAAATCGGCACAGGCATTTTAGAGTTTAGCTAAAAACAAGTCATAATCAGGTGAAAATAAATAAACAATCCTTCAGATAAAAGTAAAGTTTAACATAAATATCAAAATAGAAGAGTCAGTAACTTGTAACACATATCAGTAGAAGTTTTAATGAAGTGAATTTGTAATTTATATAATGGTAATATATAGAAATTTTTAAAATGTGTTCTCATGAATAATCCTTATATTTTACATTTCCATAAAAATATAATTCAACTATCAAATCAAACTAAAGGACAACAGCTTATCTCTGTTAAACCCTCGCAACTGTAGTTGACTGTGCCAGTATGAATTAAAAACACTATTGTGAGGTAGGGGGTGGATTTCCTCCACCTGTGCCTTGAGGAGGACGGATCTGTCTCCTTAGTTGCTCCACCAACTCAGGATTTACTGCTTGCATCTGTTGAGCCAAAGCTTGACCAGCTTCTAGTAGCGCATTAACATTAGTTCCCATACCACCGGCAGCTGGAGCACCTGTGTTGGCATTCATCAATCCTGATAACATGTTCTGCATGTTAGGATCTGAAAGCATTTCTGTTGCCATATTCAATAATGCTGGATTTTGCAGCAAACCGCCAAGGTCCATAGAAGGACGGCCGCCGCGCTGGGCGATTTTCTCTTCAGCAATGCGTAGGTTGTCTTTATAAGATTCATTGTCTGGCTCTAATTGTACAGCTCGAGCAAAGGCTATGCGTGCTTCTACATGTCTATCTAAGGCAGTTAAAGCTAGTCCCAGGCGACCGTGTGCTTTGCCGTAGTTCGGTTGCAGTGCTAGGGCCGCCATACAATCTGCTACAGCACCCTCATGTTCACCCAATTTGAAATGAGCGGCGGCTCTGTTACAGAAGTAAACAGAATTACGTGGATCTATTTCTATGGCTTTACTGTACTTTTCCATAGCTTCGCGAAAGTTTTCAGTCTTCATCAATTCATTTCCCTCATTTTTTAGTTTCTCGGCCTCTGCTAGATCAGCTACAGGGTTACTCGTCTGTTGCCGCATTAATTGCAATAGATCCATTCCCTTAGAGAGCTGCTCAGGTGTAAGTTCGTAAGCGGTCTCGATGCACTGCGCCGCAACTTCTATACTTTCCCGGGATTCTGGACTGAGGGTGTCCCCATCCAGTTGTTGTTTCAAAAAGTTCACTATACCCGCCGCAACTGCTTTGACCTCCGACATTTTGTAGAATGTATAAAGATAATTAAAAAATGATAGGATTCTTCTAAATCAGTATTAGGTTGTGGACAATTATTGTGACTGGTGACACAATTTTTTTTATTTTTCAGTGATGAATATGAACCATAGATAATAGCACTGACACTACAGAATATATTAAATATATCAGAGTTCTGACCACAGATGAATAATATGGTTCGGATAAAAACGTACTGACTGTCACCATTTATACAGAGTAAAACATCGTAGAATTACAGGTGGCGATTAATGTCAATAAGGCCTCTTTTCATTACACGGTTGTTCACGTACGGTGTGTAAGCCGTACGGTTGAAAAACGTGCTAGCTGTACATGATACGGCAAATCCCGCGGAGACATTGGTAAGTACTGGCTAGTAGCGCTTTTTACTCGGGCTGTGTAGGACGTGCTGCGTCATGAATTTTCTTACGAAAAAAAAGATTATAGTTGCTTATTACATATATAGGAAAAAGAAAATAGAAAAAAAGGGAAGTAAGGTTTTGGATACATGATTTTAGAAAAAGGGAGGAATATGGGCGTTTCATACACTTGTCAAGAATCAATTGAGAGAAGATGAAGACAAGTTTTACAATTATTTTAGAATGCAGAAAACTACATTCGACAACTTGCTCCAAAAATTATCCCAGGAACTAAAACATCAAGATACTTTTATGCGAGAGAGTATATCGCCCGCAGAAAGATTGGCTGTAACTTGAGGTAATTCTTTAGGAATCATATTTAAGCCGCTTATTTTTATAATCGTCGATGGTCTTTCCCATATTAAGGCCTTTCTTGAATCAACGTAATTAATAATTCTTGATTTATGTTCATTTTATAATAAAATCGCGAACAGCGTATATAAGCGGTCACGTCGTGCGTACGTCCGGCACCGTCGAACACGATAGATGCCATACAACACTGGTGAAAATCACGCCGTGCGTAACGCGGGCGCCGAGGGGCAGTCACGGCGCACGCGGCGCGGCGCGTGCTTGGCGCCACGTGCATGTCGACAAGCTCATATAGTGATCCATACCAATGACGACCGTGCTACAGGGCGAATAACCGTAGATTTTCAGGGAGAAACGTGTATGGAAAAGAGGTTTATTTCACTTAAATGATGTTTTCAATTTTCATACGTTATTGATTTTGCCCCAAAAATTGTATTATGCTATACCTAGGAAATTATAGCATTATGAAATGTACTATACAGTATTCCAATCCCATCCAATTCAGCCTTTTTGATAATAAGCACATAGTATACTTTCAAAAATAATCAAAATGTATATTTTCAAGATTCCTTAATGATTGTGTTCTATTCATCTTCTTTACATGTCTTGTCTTCGAATGATAAAACAGACTCGGCAATCATCATCTTTGATGGCTATGAAATATATATTTTATTATAAATTAGAAGTAAAATATAAGTGTCTGACAGGCATAGATACATACATCACAATACTATTAAAGAAATTTTTACAAAAAAAAGGACGCTGCCATTGTAAATAGGATCGAAAGCTAAGTAGACAAGATATAATTTTGGCCAACTCGAACAGGCTCCTTTCTTGGATCTTAGATGGGTTTCAGACAATTCATGGGCAGTGATGGTGATGGTCAGGCGGGGTGTTGTGTAGTAGACAGGCCCAATCACGTAGACGTCGCGTTCGTAGGTAGACGTCTCGAGGTTCGGCGCGGCCCCCACCGTCCGCCCCTCCACACACTGCACCTCCAACCCACGCACATACATTATCTTCACATGGCGACGAGTGGAACTTAAATGTTTTTATGTGAAGCTGGGTTCTAAAAAATAATTTTATAGTTTTTGTAAGCCACAATAACATATAAATCTAAATAAAACAATACGTGGCAATTGCGACGCCAGCAAAAATTATACAAATAAATATTATAAACAAAAATGTTTTTTGTAATTTCGGGGAAACCATAAAACATGACAGGTTTGAAAAAAATACTTATATAATATTTCATACAACATGATAAACTTGAACAAGTTTTTGTATGATCCAATGACTAATTTTAAATTCTTTAAAAATATAGTTTAATTATTATTTATTTTTTATGTTAGCGGTTTTTCTACTTACTTATATGGCTCCACGGTGATTAAATGTCTCAGCTCATGTGCTAGACGGGCCTTAAGACCAGGTAGTGCCGCTCCACCACCCGTTATTAATATATTCTCTGCCAGTACACGACGTGTGTCTCGTGGACATTGTGTCAGACACTGCAGCACTGCATCCGGTAGAGATGCCATGTCACGATCTCTTTCAAACAAAGGTTCGGCAGCAAGAGCCCTTGCTCTACCCGTAACGCGGACAGACATGCCTGCCCCCCCGCATACGACACTACGAACGCCATTACACCCCTCACTAGCCAACTGTATAGCTAGCTTGCGACTTGGGACGAAACAGGTGCGAACTGGAATTGTATGATTAATAATTGACATACCAATTATACAAACGTATTGTAATTTATTTATACAAATAATACATGAGTACCACTAAGTTCATAAAACAGAATGTTCATGAACCGAATTCAAAATTAGTTTTATAATTTACTTGTAGTAAATTAGTTGAAACAAAAATTTCATATTCAAATTAGCGTTATGTTTTAATTTTAACCAGATTAAAATTGTTTAACTGCATACTTAAATTTACACACCCTATTAAGAAGTTCATCTATATTTTGTTGGAATTTAAAAACTATAGATACTAAGTCAAGTAAATCATTAAAGCAAAAAAAAATTACATGTACAATTGTAAACATCTTCGTAAAAAACGAGATTTGTTTGTTATGCATGTGTTAAGCTCCAAATAAGTAAGTAGTGTAATAAGCAGTAGTATAGTAAATAAGTCTTATTGGGTTTTTGAGTTGTGATAAAGGTGATTTATATTAATAGTAAGTATTAAACAACTATCATACCTAGAATATCTTCCAGAACATTGTCATCAAGCTGTAACTCAGTTTCATTGTCCTCCTTCAATAAAGCAGCAAGGTGCACCCTCACAGCTTGCATGCCTAGTGGAGGCACCTGAATGGCATGGACTAGGGGTGCTGCATGTACCACAGGCGTAACTTCAGCTTCTCGTGCTCCTATGCTAACCACCAGTGCTGTACCCACACCCAGTGTTGCAGCACATGCCCTACCCGTGTCCCACCATGTAACACCTGACACCTATGAAACAAAATTTCAGAACATACATGCATCATTCTTTGTACAATACTAAATTAGTAATAATCACATATTGTAACTCAGTGGTACTTTAAATATCTAAGAATAGGTTAAAGTTTGATATGCTACGCTATATAAAACTGAATAGTAATTCTAAAATACAAATTAATAATTATAGATATGTGTAAGATATATGAGGCAGTGCAAAAATTACAAAAATTGATAAAATCAGTAACCGTTTAAATTATTTTAGGTGAAAACCATTTAATGTTTACCTCATAATGCATATAGAGAACTTTAGCCAGCGTCTCCCTGAATTGTGTGGTTGTAAGCAGTGACTCTATGACTACAACTTTACGCTCTTTAGGATTCACTAGCACATGTCTGAAATAAAATGCATATTTTATGAACATTAGATTAAGTTAAACTCTGCTTTGAGATTAATAGTAATTTTATCAATAATTGCTTCTTGTAAAACATCCTATAGCAACCTGAATCTGAAGACTATGGATGCCAAGTTTTGAAAAGCTGAGAACTAAGCAAAATAAAAGCTTACCTACTTATTATCATCATAATTTTTTACATTTTCTTTAAAACATAATACCTGAAATACAGAAGGTGCAGCATCTGCACTAGGTTATCATAGAGCTCTTCAGTAGTATTGTAGTCATATACTCGTTTGTACCGCCTCTCCATTGGACACCAAAACTCTGATTTGATTATACATCTCGGGGCAGCTTCACCAGTAAATCCAAACCTTTACGAAAACAATAGGGTAAATGAATATGAGTCACCATGTTATATTATATTTTTTCGTATTACCTACATACACAAACAAAATAGTAACTTCGTTTAATTTTGGAATATAATGCAATGTTGATTGTTTTAAAAGAAAATATGTACTTGCAAGTATATTATAAGTATAATTGTATTGTTATAGTTTTGCTTTAATCACCTCTTCAATAAGTAGAGATTGGAGGTGTCTTAACTTTGGTAACAGAAAATTGAATAGGTGTTCTAGTTCTTAATACTTCGAAAAACATACTTTGTATAGTCGGCGCCCAAATCCAACACAACGGCTTGCTTTTCTTGAATAAGAGCTATTCCTTCATACAGAGTCATTTTCAGTTTTTTTTTACTTTCTACCACATTTCTTTATAATATTAGTTAACTTATATTTAAAATAGGTATATTAAATGTACACAATAAACATATTATGACTGACAAGCAATAAGAATTAAAAATATATGACTATGATTTATGAAACTGTTGTTATTTTATTTGTAAATTGTCATTTGTTAAACTGACACAGATAGAGTAAACTTCAAGACTACAATAAACAATTTCTTTTTCGGGCAGGTGGCTCACTTGTTTTTAAGTAAAACCGCCGCGCATGGACACTCTCAATGCCAGAGGGCTCGCATGTGCGTTACAAGCCTTTTAATAATTGGTACACTCGTTTCTTGAATTGTCTATAGTAGAATTGGTTCGGAAATACTAAGTGGTTGCACGCGGCAAAATCTTTTTTTAGCGTAAAACGCGCAAACTTGTGTGTTCTTGGGGTTAAATTGGACTAGATTTATTCGATTCCGAGACTCCAAGTAGCAGAGTTTCGACTTCAGAGACAAGTTTGTTCCCTTACTGATCGACAACTGTCCGAGAAATATCTGCACGGACAGTGTAAAGAGTAGGTATCCTAGGGCTGTCGTAGTAGAAACAGGGTCGGGGAAAGGACACAGTCTTGTGGGAACCATCCTTTCACGGGTTTAAGTTCGGAACATACACCAGAAAGATACAACATCGGCCAGAAAGCTGGAGATCCATTCGCCTATTTTCTCGGGGAGGCCATAGGCTGGAAGTTTCAAGAGAACCGCTTTATGCCACACCTGATCGTAAGCTTTCGCTAAATCCAAACTAACCTCTAGCGCCTCAATTGCTTCTACCCAATCTATGTGTAAGGTATACAAGAAGTCTAAATGGTCACAAGCTGATTAGCGATTATCAGTATGGGTTTCATCGTAGTCGCTCAGCTGGCGACCCTTTAGATACATAAGGAGCTGTCCGTTAATATGGGTTTCCATTATTTAAAAAAATAAGGAGGTTATAGCTATTAGGCCATAGTTGGACGGATCAGAGTTTATTAATGTTTAAATCTTGTTTTGTTTTTATATTTTACTAGTAGACTCGGCCAAGCGTTGCTGTGGCTAAGTTTTTTGTTATATTATAGTAGTAAACTATTCAAGAGAAACGGCAGGACCAATCCACCATGCTTTTTTTGGTGGTTATGCCATTAAATTGTAGCTTATGTGAAACGTTGGTACTTTCAACACAGCGCCATCTGTTACAATTGTGACTATCAAATAATAAACAAATATTTTGCAATAAAATAATATTGCAGGTATAAATTGAGATGTAAGCTATCCTATCTTTTAAGTTGGATCAAACTACACACGGTGTGCAAATTTGATTGATATACCGATATCGGTAGTTTAGAAGTCCATCGCGGACAAACAACGTGACACGTAATTTATATATATTAAGATTACCGGCTCTTATTTTATGATTATTATTTTGATAGGTTAACAAATAAACTTAATAAAGGCAATATACTATTGTTTGCTATATATAATATCAAACTGGAAAGTAACGGAAATACATTATGTACAACCATAGATAGTGATGTAATGTAATGAATAAAATAATAAACAACACAGTAAACTGTTACGATGTGTTACATATAGATACTGTTTGATGTCATCGCAGGACATTGATTTGGTATTGACATAATCAGTCTCCTAATATTATTATGTCAAAATAAATTTCCAGTGGCAGTTTAATAGAAACTCCGTAAACTATAACTTTATATCCTTAGATATAATGTTTAACTAACTATTTTACATATTAGTTTTGGTGTTTGAATATGGGTATTCTTCAGAAGTGTACAATACCGCCACGACCTAGATTTCATACGGTGAGAAGACCTATAGATCGGGCTTGCTTGCCACTATCCCCTTGTGTCATCCGCTCCACGCCAACTGCACTACCCCGGCACAATAGCAAGCTATCAAACAGAAGGTGCTATGTGGGATGTATGGCGAAACTAATTGATTCATTTCTTACGAATTATTCATGAATTTAGAATATATAACAATTATACGTTTTGAACATAAATTAAGCATTCTATATTTTTAAAAGATACGAGGGGAATTAAAAGATTGTTGTATCTATTAACTAGGTATTCATTTATTTTACACAAAATTAATTTCTGCTATAATACATATTTACAAAGGTAAAAACGAATCAAGAATGTCACGTATTATAAAAAGCTTGAGCAAGACGGCACGGCCGCCCCCGACCTACTTATAGTCTATATAATTAATAATACCTATCATCTATACTAGGCTTCACTAGGCGAGAGCCGCGGATCCGCTCAGCTAATCACAGACCGACAAACTATAACCACTGTAACAAGTAACACTATGTTATAATTTACTGGGAAAAACTTGATGGTGTCTGGCAATGTATACAATGTTAAAGCGTCAACACTTTGTTAGCACAGTAGCAAGAGGAAATTTACACAGATAATTAATTACATGATGACATGATGTAGCTGAAAGTGTAATTAAAATGTTGAACTATCAATTTTATATAACCAATACAGTTGTACTTTTAAAAAATACTTTTTAAATATACAGTGTTAAAACAGTTTGAGATAGTCGTCTAAAAATTTAGTATTCGATTTAATTATCACATGAGGTGCTAAATGTACAGACTCTGTAGTCAACTAGACCAAGGTAGGTACTCACTAGCGATTATTATTATTAACTAAATAATCTGCAGTGCTCTCGTAACCCACTTTATTCCACATTAAAGTGTCCAGTCCACTCACTTTCCATAATTACATAAATATCTGAACTCGTTGCAAGCTCATACAAAGTAGAACTTATACCCTTATGTAACTAAAGCAAGCTTAACCGCGCACCGCAAACATATATAACTTAAATAACAAAGCAAAACACACATGGTTATAAGTTCTACTGAGTTTTACATTTTTATGTGTAGTCAGGTGGAAAGTTGAGGAACTGGATTAACACTCGGCTGAGTTTCCACGGCTGTCACACTGAGTTGGCCCAGCCGGTCAGATCTCCAACCGAATAGGTGTGTTATAAAAATAAAAAAATTGAAGATTTGTACCGATATAGCGAATTCGCATATGCCTGGAAGGTCTCTGTATAAAAACTATTCAGAGAGAGATCGGACCGCGGAGGCAATTTTTCTAAGTTGGAGTCGCTTAGATGATGGAGGTGATGAGTCTCGCCTTGAAGTTGACTATCCGCTCGGAAGTTTGCGCGATACGGAGAATGAGGTCCTGGATGAGATTGGCAACACCGCGGTTGGCGATGATGAACAGACGTGTGATGGGACCGGGGACTCCCTCGGTTAAACCATCACCTTTCGCGCCATCTTCACCTTCTGCTTCTCCTCCTGATGATGACGCGCCTGACGACGATCCCGCTACCAGCTACATTCAAAAACTCGTATTAGTGATGAAGTACTAGATATATGTATCCAGAAAGGAACAATTGTCGCACAATGTGATACTCAACTTGCCCTTCAGGCTTTATAAAATTTTCTCATTAACATTCCGCCTAAATATAATTAATCTACGTACGTCTTGTAATATACCAAGGTTTATTTTTATCGTTAATATACAAAATAATCCTCAGTTATATTGCTTATTCCGGTAATTATAACAATATTTGTCATGTGGCATAATGCCTTGCAAACCGCTCTATTCGGACTTTATTTGAAATGAAGAGTATCACACCGGAAAATTTGCTTCAAATGTTACAAAATGAATACATATTACATCGGATTTGCCATGCAAAGTACTAAAAGCTTACTCAAATAACAACGTTGGTCATCTGCAGTGTTAGTAATGAAGAAAGAAAATGTTAGTTGAAAAAACGCAACTTCAATGCCTACAAACAACCTACTAAAAGCATATCGTAGTACTACGGATATTCTACATACTAGCAAATACTTTGTGTTGCACTTTGAACACCTATCTACTTTGTTGTGCATATGTACAGTGTGTGTATGTATGTGTGTGTACTTGTGGGTCGTTGGGGTCAAAAGTTGCGGAGTGTTGCGCGGTGAGGCCAAGATTTAGCGAGTCTGTGCCCGCGAACAGACGAAACGCAGAACCCGCTGCCCGAGCCACCATTTCCGCCGGACGCTGTTCATTATAATTACACAATTTCATAGGGGGAGATTTTTAATAAACGATACGCCAATCTGATCTGTGATATCAGTATAGTGCTTTGATCAGTCATAGATTATATTCAAAGAGAGGTTCATGTTAGTCTTATATTTATATTATGACGTATAAGATCGTCGATCGATCGTGTTTTAATGTAATGCGTAATGATATTAAATAGAAAATTAAATGCCTAAAGTAACTAAATTATGACGAAATTTTATTTACGCTGTTTCAATTTCATTCCGATAACTCATATAGGCTTCAGAAAAGCTGTAATAAATCAAGGGTTAAGTAGAAAGAGAAGAGTAAGGTAAGACTAGTAGCTTATAAACATACTCTGACGATGTCGAAGAGGAAGTTTCCTGAACCTCCGCCAGATGATGAACCACCTCCTCCAAAGCTCAAGAACCTGGAATTGAACATTATGAGTATCAATTCGTTATTTTTTAATTTGACTTAGGGCAGTAAATCTGTTTTACTACAATTTCAAATGTAAAATCTAACAACAACACATGTTAATACTAATTAAAATGCTGAGATTCTAGGAATTTTTTTGCCGCCAATAAAAGTATATTTTTTCTTAATTCTATTTTAGAACAGAATTTTTACTTTTGAATAAACGTATCACTTGGGTAATGTATGTAGATATCGCTAGTTGCGATATAGTTACGTGATCGAGTTAAAGGTATTGTGCAGTTCGCGGTTTTAGCGAAAGGAAAATATAACAATATCGTGTGAACCGATGCCGATGCACAAAAAGGCAAGTAATGTTCTCGCTCTCAGAGTATTGTTATCTCTAGCTGTGAGATATTACGAGATATCTCAGTACCACGGCGGACTAATTGTCCAATTGAAGGCGAACATTGACACCTAAAAATTTAATAGGTTATTTTATAATTTTTAATCTAACATGTCGATAATAAATAATAGCTGATTTTTATTTCTATCTTTCTCGTGTATACATGAAGTATGTTAATTGAACCTCTTATTCCTGTTTTCTTCGCTGTCGTCAGCATCATCAAGTGTGATTTCATCAATGGTAGCAGAATTAGTCTGAGCAGCGGTTTGTTGGTCTCCGGCTGCAGCTGGTTGTTGGTCAGAGGCTGCTTGCTGGTCTCCAAAGGCGACGCGAACTTCCGCTTGCTGGGACTCTGCACCTGATAGCAGTTGATTGTCCTCAGCGATGGAGTTCTGTAAGGGAATGAAAGATTAGAGACGGCGGGGGCGTGGGGTGAAGTGATAGTGATGGATGGGGTGCGGTCTGCGCGCGCTCTGCCGTCTGTGGCAGGCTGGTGAGCGATAGTGCGCGTGTACCGGCGGAGGAAAGTAGAGCGCGCGTCGTCTTCGCGTTGGTGCTATTGTGGTTGATTCGTCATCGTCATCATCATCATCGTCCTCATCGTCATCGTCGATCTCGACAGTTCCGCCGCCACCATTTGTCTTCCCGCTGTTGCGGTTGCCGAGGAAGACCTTCAGGAACACAGGCCCAAACACCCTGAGTACGGTGCTAGTGATCTCCTGCACCTTCTGTTCGATAATCTACAACACAAGCCTGCATTATCCTCATACTTTGCAAATACATTTAGAAATTCCACCGATTATATTTATTAGGTTATGAAATGTACAATGCGATACGGAAATTGTGTTTGCAAAGTAATGGAAGCACTAAAAGCAATGCAATATATAGTTCGTAAATGGAATACGAAGATGTTTAAAACATGAAATGTTTCAGCAGGAAGACAGTCGCGTTCATGTGATTTCTGAAATCTGTAAAATAAAACTACAATACATAATTATTTTATATTTTTAGCGCATAACAATAGTTTTCAAATGCGTAAATTAAATTTGTGAATATTGAAGAAAGAACCAATGCTTGCTAGAGTGATTGGATGTTAAATTAGCGTGCTGATGAGCGCACGGATTTTTCGTTTAACGGTGATAAATGTAATGCAATTGGAGGATGAGTGAAAATGAATTAGAATGAGCTATACCTGAGTGAGTTGTGGGAAAAGTTGCCTTAGGATGCCGACGGTCCGTTTGTTTCTTTCACTGAGTTCTGATCCAGCCGCGCCCAGGTTTAAAGTCGCTAGCGTTTCCTGTAGAGTTTAAAACAATCATCAGGAGAAGGCTAAATTAGATTTTCACACAAAAATAGTTATTACAAAATCTTGATTATTTCTTCTAAAACGAGTGATTGTTACGATTAACAAGAGCTACAATTTTTCTATGGTTGTTTTCTTTACAATGTTTATTTAAGACTCAACCAACATTAGAAGTAATCACAGAGCACTGTAAATAACATTCCTTTGTGCTATAAGTGCCATAAATAAACAGGAAAATACTAAATGATTTCGTCAAAATCGGAGCATATAATTTAAGTTTAATATACAGGTACTACACGGAAGTAATTAAACCAGTCTCTTATAACTACGAATATTTGAATATGTTCAATAAGCAGCATTATTTAAATACATTCAAGAAACCTTCGCCTGTGCAAAAAATGTATTTAAAATAATTGCACACAATTATGAAGAACAACTACCACGAATAATTATGAAACTGTATGGTAAGGCCAAGGACTTGAACTCCGAAAGGCATGCGTACACAATAAAGAGCCATTATTACGTCTCATATACTTTACATAACGTCTTTATAAAGATTCGCAGATGTGACACGCGATGCACTAATTTAGGAAGCTGAAGATTGGTCATTTATGAGTATATAATCGCGTTGAACAGTAGTAAAGTGCTAGTATATAAGTGCTTATGTAATGAGTTGCGTCACGACAACTAGTGCGTGTTGTCGGAAATATATGAAACCTGACATTCAATTACGCTATTTCTTCGACTAATTTCGACATTACTTTAATAATTTAAATATTTTGCGGTTTAGTATTTTTGAGGGCATTTCTGTCTGTGAATCGGATTAAGTTGTGGTAGGGTCAATCTATAATTTAAGATCAATATCTATAATTTAACTTTAGACTTTAATGTTATTGTAATAATGACCTTTTATTAGTAATGTATAAGGTACATAATTCAAAACTAAAATTAATAACCGCGGATTTATCCTATAAACAATAATTAAAAGTAATTCCACAACAAAGTCAATTGTGAACTTTATTGGTCTGACTCTATGAGTGATTTTAGGTTAGTCACAAACGTATTTGATATTTATTATGTTCTACAAATTTAACACTTTATTTATTTCTTTGGATAGGGTGCACAAATCAAATAAAGTAACTAAACTGTTTAACCTACAGCTTAATATGGAATACACATTATATATTGTTTTCTGATTCGTGAAATCCTCATATTGATTTCTACTAATTATAATCTTTTATAAGAGCTTTTTGAGCATACCTGTGCGCTGGCTGCGGGTGCTATGATTTCAATGATTTCAGGCTGGGAGTCGAGGGCTGGATCGGGCTGTGGCGCGGGGTCTGGGTTAGCGGCGGGTTGTGGGGCGGGCGCGGCGGTTGCCAACGCTGCGAGCGTCAACACGTACACTATGCTCCTCATATTGCTACTGTCGACTGCTGCTCTGTTGTCTATTGCTCGTTTGTCTCACGTCTATGTGGTCTCGATGACTCACTCTGGAATCTACAAATTGTTTATTAGTTACAAATATCACAGAACGGAATAAGCAAGCCTTTTAGAAATGAAAAAGAAAACCCATTGTTGTGAAGCTAAGGTTCCAACGCACGGTGTTCCGATGTTTATAGACTAATATCTTTACTACTTATTCGATAATTGTTATTATCCAGTGAGCATTGGTTGTGGTCAGTTTGGCGCGGGCCGGTCAATCGTGCGACTTTGAACTCATTCCAAATGGAAAGTTCGGCGGCAACCTTCACGTTTTTATACAATAATTTTATTATTCCACTTTAATTTCTTAACACGCGTGTTTGCTGCACTCCTTATTCCTTCATGTTACAAAATACCGAGGTCAGGTTCCTTGTTTGTCTCGCTAAGCGATACCTACACGTAACGTTGCTTAATCGTGTTAAATTGAAATGATTTTATCACAGAGTTCCGGTTGCATTAATTAATTAAAGCGCTGGCTAGCTGCCTTCATTATGATATCATGTTTAACAAGCTTGTTCTCAAACACTCTTGTCAAGAGGTTCTCGTGTGTAAAGATTTGTATTTGTTATGACGAAGTTAAGGCGACTCAAAGGAACGGATTGAAAACTATATTCGAAGCAATACTTACAAGCCTTGTAGGTAGAGTGGCTTTGAATAAGTTTTGCTTATTATCCACCAGGGGCGCTGTAATATTTTACATTCGTATAATATGTGTATTAGCGCTGTCAAAGCTACAGTACAAATCTCGTAGCTCGTGCTACAAGTTTTGGTCTACGATCAACAAGTTATTATGAGTTACTCTTTTATATCTTATTAGTTTCCTCTGTGAACTTTGTTTCGCTTTGTTTAACATACGGAACATTTTGCTATGCTACCCCATAGTGACTGTTCACTTTTCCGGAATAAAAACTAAGTACTAAATAAACTATTTTTTTTTTTTAAATATTTTTCCACTTTTTCTCTACAAAAAAACCGTTTTCAAGAAGTTCAAGCCGTCTTCGTGTTGAGCAACATATTATATAGATGCATAATTAATACTTTATTATAAAAACTGAATTATACTATTGCAAGTAATGAATGAACAATTCTTTATAAGTAAATGGGTTATTACGACTTAGTAAATTGATACAAAAAATATATATTGTCTGTAACAATAAACATTTAAATATATACGATTAAATGTCCTTGAATAATAAATGTACTTATTAAAAGTTTTAAACCGCAGTAGACTGTTAATTTATCGTAACGTTTGCCAGTTTTCATCAGGGAGTTATTGCAAAAGCGTTTTTTTGTCGTTTGATCATTGAAGCTGAGTTCCGGGCATCTCTGACTTTCTAGATTCTAAACTAGCGTCCCGCTGGGTTCTTTAGTGTATACACTATAAGAAAGTAAGTAAAGAAAACTAAGATAATTTGTTGGTAGTTTTTTTTTATTAACAGTTTGACAACTTTTCTACTTAGCCTTTCTTTACTTACTTCTTTGTTACATTAATCACTAAAGGCAAGTTGATGATCAGCCATATCTTCCATACGGAATTTTTGGCCTTTACTTTATCCGTATGGCCGTATCTTAATTAGGAACAACGTCGGTTTTAAAAACCCCGCTTCTAAACGTAAGCTTAAATGTTATAGAAATATCATTTTTTAAATCATATTTGTATGAACTTAGAAATGTATAAAAATTAAATAGTGTTTGCCAAAATTTAAACTTATTTTCCCCAAAATCTAGTATAAAAAACCAGTGATATCAAGTGTTAGTTGGGAAATATTGACATTAGCCAGTCAAGTGTTAAGGCCATATTTTAAATTAACACTTATCTAATGTTTATTGGATAACGTTGCGACACTCACTTGCTCAATAACTTTAAAATGCTAATTTTTAACAAATCTTGACTCTGGCCGATTCCTATCTGAGTTATTGCGGCATACACAACATTTTGTACCGACGTAAGAAAGGCTAAAGTAGGATTTATTATAATTATTTACACCTCGTAACGTTATATAAACAGATATATAAACAGATATATAAAGCAGGTTATAAAAGTTACTAAGCAACGAGCGGCCACCATCGCAATACATTAGGATGTGTACTAAGTAAATATAAAGATTCTATTCATGTAAAATAGGAATATTTAGAATCATCTTTATATATAAATCTTTCGTGCGCGTGTGTTTTCTCACTCAAAAGTTTTGTGTGTATTCAAGAAGATTCGAGAATTGTTGAATTTATAATTAGTTTTTTTTATATTTCAATGTATACAGGACACTGGACAACGTCTGTTGAGTTCGCTAGTAATATATATTTATTAGATTTTGTATACGAGTATAACCAAGATGAACTTGCAAGGAATTGTACGTAAAACGAATTCAAATATAGAACATATTTAGCTGATACGGCTGATGTTAATTACGACGAGTTTAAACTTTTATGTATGTTTTATATAAAAGTGGACTTTGAACTCAAATAATGCCTTGAATTTGTAAAAAATACGCAGCATCAAGTAAGGTGTAAAGTGATTGACTTTTCTAATCATTATGTAAACTAATGACAGAGTGCTAATAATTTAAATAAATACCGTACTCGGAGACGGGAAGTGAGATTTTCATTATTTTGCAGATTTGTTTATCTCAATACAGGTAATACTTGTTTTTAATACTTAATAGGCGTTATGGCAGCTTAGTAATAGAACTTTCATCGCTCTATGTAATAATAATAATCCAGTGGTACTACAACCTTACATTTGACGTCAGGTGGCTTCCATTGTACATTTGTTTTATAGACATATACATACATACTAACATACGGAACATTTTGCTACCCCATAGTGACTCTTCGCTTCGGAAAAAAACCTGATATTTTTGTATATATAAAAACATTCCTTAGAGTTCAAGGAATAGATTTAATAATACTTGATTGGGTCAAGTAGACGCTTGACATAATATTCCGATTTTTGAGTCGTAGGTTCCTTAGGCTGTTTTCCTTTACAAAATCATTTTCTTTATACAATCCATTGGGACAGTCGGAATTCAAACCCACTACCACGGAGGGTGTTACGTTTATGTTTACCGATTTGATCACGTTTCCTTATCGTACCGATTTTCGTTGTAATTTTATTTTGCGCAAAATTGCTTTCGCGCTTGGCTGAGGCAATACCACCTTGGGCAGACCAAACCAGTACCGGAAGTCAATTTCATTTAATTTCATTGAGTTCGAAGGTTTACTCGAATACGCATTATACTGTGTCAATACATTAACGCCAGTGGAAAATTTATTGTCTGCCAATGGGGCATATTCTACGTCTTTTATAGGGCTTTACAAAAATTATTGTTACCTCAGAAATCAAACTGAATATCCAGGTTCTATGGGTGTACAAATTAAGTAAAATGTAGCGTGCAAGCGTAGCAAACACATCTGGCATTTCCGGGATGTCATATTGTGTCAAATACATAGTCGATCATTAATTATTCAATAAGCGAGATTAAACATTACAATCTTATTTGTATTGGAGCACGATTAGGTAACGCCTTTTTTAAGGAAAAAACCATCGCAATAACTTTAGAAACGGTATATTTTTAATTAACTACTCTGATGAATGATGATGGATATCATCAGTGATGGATTGCTATCAAGGTATGCCATCGTCCGGTGACCAGGGATAAGCAATGGTTGCTATGACCTCGTGCGTGCCTAACGATCACGTCAGAAGACACGATATATTTCTATTCACGTTCCGTATGACCTTGTAACTTTATTACACATCATAAAAAAGGATGTTTAGTTAAGAGAGAAAGTCCCCAAACTAGGGGTTAGTCTCTTCCATTTGACATATTAATGATTTAATGTACCTACATAACAATTACAATTTTATAATTAAATTACTGTTTCACAATAAGAATACCTTCCACTTCTGCATAGATTGTTAGTGAATGTACCAAATACAAAGTACCGACTGTTAATAGGATCAATACTCGATCTTGAATGGAATAATAACAGGTAAATAAGATAATTATAATTTGATACAACATCGAAATCTATAGTGTCATACTCAGATTTCAAACGATCGTAAACTGCAATAATTTGTGACATCGTGAAGCGATCCATTATGCACAGACGCGCGACATGTATTACAATAAGGTATCTGACGCTACACGGAATTCTAACCCTTATTCAAATAAACAGAAAGATTATTTTGCCGAGTAAAAGCATATTAAGGCTGTCAGCTGTTGTGTGGTCGAATGGTCTCTGATACGAGTGTTCCAAATCATCTGAGCGGTTACTTCACCGCAACTCGAAGATAATTTAGTTGTTGAGAAACATCAGCGGTCAATCTACTGCTCTTTCAATATTGTCTAGACAAACGACACCCTATGTATTGGTAATGTAGATATTTTATATACGCAAAGTTGAGTGCTTATATGATAACATTAATTAAACAATGTTTGACTTTAAAGACATAAGATCCAAAAACCCTTTTATACTATATAAATTTATGGTAATATAGTATGCGTATTTATTGTATTAAAATTATTATATCTGGCATTGAAATCAGACATTCAATAATTGCAATAAGTAAGCAATAGATATAGGTGATAGAAATTCTCACGCGCAGGCCTTGAATATTTTTCTACTTTATTCAAATTATTTATTGAATAACTAATTTTTCTTTAGCAAGTAACGATTTCTATGTCAGCAATAATTAAAAACAAATGTGCCAACCTAAAACCTTCGGGATACTGCGAAAGTACTTAAGATTGTGTAAAGATAAAGTTTTATTAATATATCTTCTATCTGAAAGTAAAACTCAATAGTTTTGTTACACAACGTCTTGCCCACTCTCTACTGTCGTGGTACCAATCTAAGAATGGCACGCCGCTCTAAATGGATTTTACTTTGGACCTTTATCAATTTTAAATGTCATTTAACAACTTAGGCAA